AATAATTAATTAATTAATGTTTATTGTCTCTTTCCTTCCACTACAATGATTAATCTTAAACTTTTCAGTCTCAGGATCTTTTTACACTCTTAAAAATTACTGAGGACCCCAAATAGCTTTTGTTTATGTACATGTATCTTTCAATGTTTACCACACTAGGAATTAAAACTGAGATATTGGGCTTCCCTGGTGGCGCAGTGGTTGAGAGTCTGCCTGCCGATGCAGGGGACACGGGTTCGTGCCCCGGTCCAGCAGGATACCACATGCTGCGGGGCGGCTGGGCCCGTGAGCCATGGCTGCTGAGCCTGCGCGTCCGGAGCCTGTGCTCCGCAACGGGGGGGCACAACAGTGAGAGGCCCGCATAACGCAAAAAAACCAAAAAACTGAGATATTAAAAATATGTATTAATTCATTTAAAAATAACTGTAATGAACCTATTATGTGTTTACATAAAAATATTTTTATGAAAAATATCTTCTCTAAAGCAAAAACAATTTATTAAGAAGAGGGCATCTTTTTTTATGTATATAACAGCTTTATTAGAATACAATTCAAATACTACACAATCTGCCCATTTAAAATGTGCAATTCAATGGCTTTTAGTATATTCAGAGTTGTGCAACCAGAAACACAATCAATTTTACAACATATTCACCACCCAAAAAAGGAACCCCATACTCATTAGCTGTCTGTCACTCTGCCAACCTTCCCATCCCTCTACCCCTAGGCAGCCACTAATTTAACTTTCTGACTCTATGGATTTGTCTATACTGGACATTTCATAAAACGGAATCATATAACATGTGGTCTTTTGTGACTGGCTTCTTTCATTTAGTATGTTTTCAAGGTTCATCAATATTGTAGCATGAATGTACTTTATTCTTTCTTTAAAAAAAATTAATTAATTAGGTTGCATTGGGTCTTAGTTGCAGCATGTGAGCTCCTTAGTTGTGGCAGGCAGGCTTCTTAGTTGCGGCTCACGGCCTCCTTAGCTGTGGCATGAGAACTCTTAGTTGCTGCATGCATGTGGGACCTAGTTCCCGGACCAGGGATCGAACCCAGGCCCCCTGCACTGGGAGTGAGGAGTCTTAACCACTGCGCCCTCAGGGAAGTCCCTGTACTTTATTCTTTTTTATTGTCAAGTAATACTCCATTGTATGGATATATCACATTTTATTTATTCATTCATCAATTAATGGACTTGGGTTGCTTCCACTTTTCAGCCATTATGCTGCCATGAACATTTGTGTGCAAAGTTTTGTGTGGACATGTTTTCATCTCACTTGGGTAATATTTATAGGAGTGGAACTGCTAGGTCATATGGTAACTCTGTGTTTAACCTTTTGAGGAACTGCCAGACTGTTTTCCACAGTGTCTGCACCACTGTACACACCTAACAGCTGTGTATGAGGCAGATGGTATACTTTTACACTTCTGTGAATCTCTTTGACATGTGGCTTAATTAAAAGACAACCAGGTTCTCATACCTGTTTCTGTAACCAATCTGTTACAAAATATTGTTTTGGTTGAGTATATTAAAAAAATCCAGACTCAGAGAGATACGAAGTTAGAAAAAGGAAGAACATTTTAACAGCCTTTTCAAATAATGGTGGACTATTTTTCTTTGATAGTATACCAAAACTCTACAAGTGGTAGTCTCTTAAAGGTCAGTCGCAAAGTAGAGCCTGAAACCGTATCAATAAGGTTTTATAGTCTGTTATATATTAACATCCAGTCAATTAACAGAAAAAGGATATCACTGGAAAAACTGGGAAATTTGAATAAAGTCTGTAATTTAGTTAATAGTGTTGTACCAATGATAATTTCTTAGTTTTGATAAATACCATGGTTAAGAAAGATGTTAACGCTGGGAGAAGCTGCGCGAGGGGTATATGGGAACTCTATGTACTACTCCTGCACCTCTTCTGTAAATTTAAAATTATTTTTAAACAAAAAGTAAAAAATAAAATCCAATCCATTGACCTGTTTTGTTCTCTGAATGGATCTTTACGCAGCACAATTTTGTGACCTCATGCATTGGTCATTTGGAAAATACTGGTTCACTGAGTTACGCGTATCTTTCAAATGTTACTCATTACACAATATAAAAAAATCACGACAGTTACTATCACTACAGACCTTTTTAGGAAAGTCTTCAAGAACTGGGAAGCTGGGACTTCCTGCTGGCGCAGTGGTTAAGAATCCGCCTGCCAGTGCAGGGGACACGGGTTCGAGCCCTGGTCCGCGGAGATCCCACATGCCTCCAAGTAACTAAGCCCGTGCGCCACAACTACTGAGCCTGTGCTCTAGAGCCCATGAGCCACAACTATTGAGCCTGCGCTCTAGAGCCCATGAGCCACAACTACTGAGCCTGCGCTCTAGAGCCCGTAAGCCACAGCTCCTGAGCCCACGTGCCACAACTACTGAAGCCCATGTGCCTAAAGCCTGTGCTCTGCAACAAGAGAAGCCACCGCAATGAGAAGCCTGTGCACCGTAACGAAGAGTAGCCCCTGCTCGCTGCAACTAGAGAAAGCCCGCACAGCCACGAAGACCCAATGCCTCAATCAATCAATCAATCAATCAATCAATCAATAAATAAATAGAACTGGGAAGCTGTTAAGCTTACAATGACAAAGACAAGTTTTCCAAAATTCTGGTTTTCACTTGAAAGCTCAAATGTCATTTATTATTGGCCCAAAATATTCTCAGTTGTTTCCCTCAAAGTGGGAAACTGTTCATTTTCTGAACGGGCTTACTCTGTTCATTTTCAAGAAAGTATCTTCCAAATACCTGAGTCTGAATAACCAGTTTGTCTGTAAGCCCCTCTTTCAAGTACAAATGGTGTTCCATGATAAAGCAGCTACTTCAATGCACAGCTCAGTTGTATGAGGACTTGTCCTCGAGACAACGGTAGCCTCCTCTGTGAAGCAGGAGCGCTGTATGCGCATTTCCGTTTCATCACACAGACTATTAAAAAGACGTGTATTCCAAGGTTGAGACAAAATAAATTAACAGTTTTTACTGCTTCTCCAAGGACATTCTTAAGCAAAACTGGCTTTTCCTCTCTTCCTTCTAGTTTGCGATGGTAGGCAATACAATGACTACTGACATCCTGATTTGCACTAAGGGCCAGCCAGCCATTTTACCAGTCATTGCTCTTGTAACTTCAATGCAAATGTCAACGTGGTGGAAAGGGCAAGTAAAGCCACAGTATTATCATGAAAACAGTTTGGATCTTACGTATCCCCTGAGACGGTCTTAGGGAGCCCAGGCTCTGCAGACCTCATTTTGAGAACTGCTGCTCTATCAGCACGTAAAGGGCCTTAAAGGCAGGGGTTTGGGTGTGTTTTGTTCACTGCTGAATCCCCTGTGCCTAGAACAATACTTGGCCTATAACAGGTGCTCAATAAATATTTATTAGATAAATGTGTAAATGAATAAATAAGTGACTGGATAAAGGAATGTGATAACATCTGTAATTACTTTCAGCTTGGAAGTCAAGCAATAAAAAATTTAGGATATTTGTAGCTTTGGGGTATAATTTAAAATTTTACGGAATGCTAAATATTTAATCAGGAAATAAAAGGCATTATTTCTTTTGGCAAAGGCATTTAACTGCGGGGATGCAAAAGCAGCAAGGAACTTTCAAAACTGTACCAACAGTGTTTGCATTGGAAGGCAACTGCTTTTAGCTATGCAAATAACTCCTGAAAACTGGAACACTGCCCGTGACCTAGAAACAGGTGCGAAATCGGGAAAGGAGGAAAAGAACCGCAAGTTTCCACTCGCCCATCATGGTCCCACACTTGTTTTTTCGACCCACAGTGTCTGGAAACGTTTCACAGAATCGAGAGGAATTATGCACGAAGATGAACAGGGAGTCTGAATATAAGGGACACACAGGAAATCATAAGGAGTAATTAAAGTGTTTCAAGTTTTGAGGACTAAATTAACATAATGTATTTATCTCAGAAAGAGAACTGAGGACCTCGGCGTATGGTTCACATACTGCGAAAATGCTACAGACGTGGGTTTTAGTGAAGCCAAGAAACCGCTGCACAACAAACAGGTGAGCCAGTAATCAAATGTTCTGGTTACTAGTGAGTTTCCTTACAGCCCACTATTTTTCCGTGAAATAGAACTCAGTAAATACACCATTCTTAAGCTGAAGGATTCCATCGTTTAGTGGTTCCAGAGGCACTTCAGACTCTCAGTAAGCTTTAGGGATCGTCATTAAAAGGGACTGATCGGTTAAGGAAGCCCTGGTGTCGGAGTTTAACGTCTACATACGTTACTGGCTCTCTGGTTTCTAGTCCCACTTCTGCCACCTGGTATCACCTGGCAACAGGTAAATTCCTTGACCTTTCTGGAGTTCAGTTTCTCCTGAAACTGAAATTCCAAATGCTTAGAATATGAATGTTTGTGAAATACTTTGGGTCCCCTGGAGTTACTGAGGTAATTTCAAGGAATTAAATGTGGGGATGACTCAGAAGACAAAACACCCCAGTAAATTTTAAACTGTCAAGTCTGAAATAATAACCTACAAGTTTCTTCCACCCTACAGAAAACTGCCAAAGCTGCTTCCCCAACCCATACATCTCCTTATACCCAGAAATCCCAGGAATAAGACCGAAACCTACACAAGCCACCCTAGTAACTTCTGAATTTCTAGCCACCCTAGTAACTTCTGAATTTCTAGATCCAGAAGCATGAACTTCTGGATCTTCATGCTAATCCTGTTAGACAGGCAGGGCAGGGAGAGCCACTTTTATCCTTCAGACAAAGAAACTAAGGTTTAAAGTGACTGAGTGCTTTAACTAAGATGCAGAACTGGGACCCAGTAGGTCGCAGGAGCTCAATCGTCTTCCCACTATTGCACCTGCTTTGCTGAGTGAAGGACGAGAGAGCTGGTCCCCTACCAGCATCTCTGAAGCCCCGACAGTGGGCACAAGGTTATCTAGCTTCCTTGGGTCCTGAACAAACAATCCTGTTCAACTCACCTGTAGCTTCACAGCGATGACCACTGAGTTAAGGTCTTTGTCCATTTCTTTTAGCATGACAAGTTTCTTCAGGGTCAAGCTGAACAGCCTAGAAAAATTTTGAGAAAGAAGATCGAGTCAAATGTAAGGAACTTATGAGAAAAGTGACAGACAGTCTGTTGAGGAAATGCTGCTTTACCTAAAGGAAGAATGTTAGAATGCTGTTTACTGTGTCTACCATCAGTAAAACAGCATCCCTCTTATTTAACCTTTGTACTTGGTAAGTGTCAAAAAGGTACATTATTCCATGAATGTCTGTGGATGCCCCTTTATCTCCAGCCAAAACCAAGATGCCTTTTCACTCCTAATATGTGGAAGCAGTTTCTGGGAGCGGGGAGTAGACCAGGGAGGGGCATCAGTGTTTATTTTGCTTGCCCAGTTCCAGTTCCACCTTATGTCTAATCACACCTGAAACATTTACCGATGTAAATCTGTAGCAACAAAGAGAAAATCCACACAAACAAAACAGAAACCATTTGGCAGGAAATGCTTTAAATGACCACAAATTCGATTTCAGCCAAACTTTGCTTTAAACATGCAGAAAATCTTCAGTGCCACAATGAGGAAGTTCCCCTTAATTAAAAGCAATGGGACTGTCCCTCACTCTGGAGTCTTGGCATCTCTAATGTGACTCGACCTTGGCCTCCCAAGGCAGGGCTACCCCGGGCTTCTAGCAGGAGCTGGGAGGGAAACTGCAGATGCTGCCTTTCTGCTTCTGGTTTGAGTGGTTCAAGTCCTTAAAACATCCTTTTCCCCGGTGAGGTTCTGGAGGATGGTTATAGGTGGGATGCTGCCGACCCGAGTCAGGTCCTGACACCCCGACTTGGTCTGGGGCTCATTTTTCCCGTTTCCCCTCGGTCTCACCTCTGGGCCTCCTCCTTACTCTCTAAGCTCCAGTCGCCCCGAATTCATTTCTGCTCCTCGCGTGCCCACTCTCTCACCTCTGGGCCTTTTTCCAAAGGGCAGGGCCCAGTACAGCTGCTCGGCAAATATTTGTTAATGAAGTTTAACACTTTCTTAAAACGGCCTCTAGCTAAAACCAGGTGAACAAGAATACATGTTGAAGAAATTCATGTAATTCATGAAAAAAGGGGGGCAAATCCAGATCCACAGAACTGAATTCTAATTTTGAATTCACCCTCACCCCAAACACTTGCTTAGATCTGCTGACACGAAGCAAATAAAACTCTTTCTTTCCTTTTGCTTTAAGTCACAATCAAAATCAACTAAAAGAGAGCCTATCAAGTCTTTTCATATACATTATTTCATCCAGACCTCAAAAACATGACTCTGTGTGTGTGTGTGTGTGTGTGTGTGTGTGTGTGTGTGTGTGTGTGTAGGGGGCGGGGTGGGGTGGGGCAGGGGTCACTGCTCTACCCGTATAACAGAAGAGGAAACAGATTCTTTTTTTTTAAATTTTATTTATTTTTGCCTGCGTTGGGTTTTTGTTGCTGCACGTGGACTTTTCTCTAGTTGTGGTGAGCGGGGGGGCTACTCTTCGTTGTGGTGCGTGGGCTTCTCATTGCGGTGGCTTCTCTAGTTGCGGAGCATGGGCTCTAGGCGCACGGGCTTCAGTAGTTGCCGCACACGGGCTCAGTAGTTGTGGCACATGGGCTTAGTTGCTCCACGGCATGTAGGAGCTTCCCAGACCAGGGATCGAACCCCTGTCCCCTGCACTGGCAGGCGGACTCTTAACCACTGCACCACCAGGTTAGTCCTGGGAAACAGATTCTAAACAGAGTAGTGACTCAGCTAAATTCCCACAGCTAGTAAGTGACAGAGCTAGATTCTAACTCCCATCTCCTTGTGGTAGGCAAATAATATCTCCTAATCCTCAGAACCTGTAAACTTTTTACAGGGCAAAAGGGACTCCACAGATGTGATTAAATTAAGGTGGAGAGATGATCCTGGATTATCTGGATGGGTCCACTACAATCACAAGCCTTTATAAGAGGGAGGCAGGAGGGCCCAAGTCAGAGAGTGAGATGTGACCACGGAAGCAGAAGTCGGAGTGATGTGTGGCTGGCTCTGAAGATGGAAGAACCCCAGGGTCAGGGGCCAAGGAATACAAGCAGCCTCTAGAAGCTGGAAAAGGCAAGAAAACCGACGCTCCCTGGAACCTCCAGAAGAAATGCAGCCTTGCCACCACCTTGATTTTGGCCCAGTGAAACCCATTTTGGACTTCTGATCTCCAGAATTGTGAAAATAAACGTGTGTTTTGTTTTAAGCCACTAAGTCCGTGGTCATTTGTTACAGCAGCTGTAGGAGCTAATACGCTTCTCCTCTTAAGACCTGAGGCCTCCACTACACAGCTGCCTCCTCAGCCAATGACTGGAGCTCCCGCACCTGTGCTCCTAAAACACGCTCAGGTCTGTTAAACTGGAGTCACCACGGTTCATGCTCGCCGCCCCCTCTCCCCCGCCCATCAACAGCTACCCACAGCATCACTTGTTTCTCCTTTCCCTTCAGAGTAGAAACGTGCTGGCCCAAAAGGAACTCTGGTTCTGCCAACACCCAAGGGATTATTACATTTCACATAGTTGACTACTAAGAAATGTTACTAACCACACTGCAGCTGATTTTCAAGGCTTGTTGGAGAGGAAAGGGAAGGAACACAACTGGAAAAGACTGGATATGCCCAATTTTGTTCCTCATCTAAGGCTGCCGATTACAAATGCTTCTGATAAGTTGGGTTTTTGTTTGTTTCCAAAGCACCTACAGACGGATGCGCTGGTGCTGAATAAACCTCACTGCAAGAAAAAAAGAGTCACAGGAATAAACTGGGAACACGCGTGTTTCTTCCCCTCTGCTTGTGATCCTTCACCCTCTCACACATTCCACACGTTGAGAGAGCATCTCCTGTATGCCAGGCACTGGGTTAGCGGGAGTTTAGAGGACATGGTCCACAGCCTCATGGAGATTACACAGTCTGGTGGGGAAGACAAGCAACGACTTACACGACACTTCTTGTCCTCAGCTCTTCTATGCCCCATGAGGCTCTGGACCATCTTTCCTCTTACATAACATATAAAATATTGTAATAGGTAATATGGTGGAATTTTGTTAGGAGGGAAAAACACATCATATACCAATAAATATTTGGTGAATAAATAAACAAACCTTTAGGCCACAGCACCTTATGTCAAGAAGAAAGCCAACAATGATCTAGTACCTTAGGTAACAAAATAATAACAAGACTGGACGTGTTTAGTGTTTGCTCAGAAACTAGACATGCCACATTGATTTCCATACTATTGGCAATCAGTTCAACAGGTCTTTTTGTTTGTTTTTAATGGTATCACTCAAGGGGATGTGGGGACTTAAATGTATTCTGGTTCTTCAAAGCATAAGAAAATGTGACTCACTAAGCATCTACCACGCACCAGTTGCTTGACATACATTTCCCTACTTCGTGCAAGTCTTACAATAATTCTAAGAGGTGGGGTGCGCTACCTAGCTTACAGATAAGGATGTTGAGAAGGACTAAGAAACTTGCCCAAGGTCACACAAGAAAGTGGTTGAGCCAAGATGCAAACTTAGGTTTATCTTAGGTCAGAACCCAATTAAAATTAGTACAGAGCACTTATTTGAAGGTAAGAAGAAATTATTTTAATTACAAGTAAATATTTCCGACAGATATCTTAATACAATAGAAAAACTCTGAGTAAGTAAGACACATTTCTCCTTAAACCCACACTCACACAATACTGATTGAAACAGTCCCAGATATAGTTCTGAGGATGACTGGGTCTGGCAAGATGTTCCGACGGAGGTGTCTCAACAAGTAAGAGGCTGATTAGATGCTGATCCTCGGGTTTTTTGTTACTATATGTTTTATCGGTTGGGCACTTCATATGCAGTAAAAATACAGTACCCAAGGCCTGAAAGAAGAGTCCTTCCCTGACCATACTCCAGCTTTAATCAGTTTTTCTACAGCAGAAAATAACTTTACACTAAAATCATAAAGACTGGTAATTCCAAGTGCTAGTGAAGATGTGGACTAACCAGGAGCCCCATACGTGGCTGGTAAGAGTGCAGCGTCAGACAGGTATCTGAGAAACCACCTGGTAGCTTATTAGTAGATATTAAATACATGCCTATTCCTCTGCCCAGGTCCCAAGAGAAGCCGAGAAAAACGAGGGCACAGGCCACACAAAGACAGAATGTTCAGAGCAGCCCTAAACTGGAAACAGCCTAAGTGTCCACTAACAGGATGGACCAACGAATTGTGGCACACAAAGACGACAAGCTACTGATGCATGGGACAACATGGACAAACTTCAGAAACACTGTGCTAAGCTAAAAAAGGCAGACACAAAAGACTATATGATTCCACTCATAAGAAGTTCAAGGATAGGTAAGACCAATGCATGGCGATAGGAGCCAGTTCAGTAACTGAGGCAGGTGGAGACATTGACTGGGAAGGGTCTTAAGGGAACCCTTTGGGGGTGACTGAGACACCCACGACGGTGGCCACGCGGATATTCACACCTGCAAAAATCCACAGAGCTGCTTTATGTTCAAGGCCCAGGCACCACACTGTACACAAACTACACATCAAAAAAAAAATTTTTAAGACCAGAATGAAGGCTTTAGAGTCAGACATAACCTGGTCTGAATTACAGTTCTGTCATATTACTCTGTCAGTCATCCATCAGCCTATGCTGAGCTAGTCACTGTTCCAGTCACTTGCGATGCATCAGGAAACAAAACAGACAAAATTCTTGTCATGGAATTTATATTCTAGAGAAAAAAACTGTCAATAACAATAAACATAATTATTAAATAAATTACATAGTATGTTAGATTGTGTTAAAATAGAGCTAGGTGAGGGGGATTGGGAGTGTGAGGCAGAGGAGGGCAGGGAGCGTTGTAATTCTAAGTAAGGTGGTCAGAGTAGGCCTCACTGAGAAGTTCTAGATTAAGGGAAAGAAGTGCAAAGGAGCACACCTGGTCTGTTTGAGAAATATTAAGGCCAGTGGAGCTGAAGCAGAGGGAACAAGGGTGACAGTGGTATGGGACAAGGTCAAACCCATGCATTGTGGGTAG